GGCATAGTCTAATGAGTAGACGAGTACTTGCGGGCGTGCTTTCCTCGGCCAAAAGATGTACTTCTGTCCTGGATGTGATCAACCTACTCATCAGACAAAGTCCTATTCGTCGTCACTCCCCCTGGGTGTAATATTCGCCAATGCCTGTCCCACGCGCTGAGAAAGGTCTCCTTGCGGTCACCTGAGCTTCCGTCAAGTCGTCGGGCCATCCGACCGGTTAAATGCTGGATGAACCTGGGATCAATTCCAGAAGTATAAGAGCCCACTCGCGCGGTGTGTGTTCCTCCAGACCTAAAAGTCCTAGTACACAATGCTTTCTTTCCTCACTCTCCTCGTTGCTGCTACTGCCGTCTACGCTGCACCCACCAACGGCACCACTGACGTCCTCGACATTCGCAGTGGAACACCCAGCGGAACAGGTACCAGCAATGGATACTACTACTCTTGGTGGACGGATGGTGCGGGCGATGCCACCTACACCAACGGCGCCGCCGGACAATACTCTCTGACCTGGTCGGGCGGCAATGGCAACCTTGTCGGCGGCAAGGGATGGAACCCCGGCACCTCCTCGAGGTCCGTAACCTTTCTCAACTTTCTTTCTCGACGAGCTCGTTGCTAAGTGTGCTTTCGCAGGGTAATCAACTATAGCGGTACCTACCAGCCTAATGGCAACAGCTACCTTTCTGTTTATGGCTGGACGCGCAACAGCCTCATCGAATACTACGTCGTCGAGTCGTACGGCAGCTACAACCCGTCGTCTGCTGCTTCCCTCAAGGGAAGCGTTACCTGCAACGGCGCATCCTACGATATCCTTTCCACCTGGCGCACCAACGCGCCCTCTATCGACGGCACGGCGACGTTCCAGCAGTTCTGGAGCGTGAGGAACCCGAAGAAGGCACCTGGAGGGTCGATTAGCGGGACGGTGGATACGGCGTGCCATTTCAATGCATGGGCAAACCTTGGTTTGAACCTTGGTAGTGAGCACAACTACCAGATTGTGGCTACGGAGGGATACTTTAGCAGTGGCTCGTCGACCATCACCGTCTCCTAAGGGTGCGCGGGAATGTACGGGCGTGCGGTAGCTGGGTTCTTGAAGGAAGCGTCGACTATCCATGGTGTGTTTTTTCTTTACGCGGTAGTCGGCATGTTGTAGGTAGTAGAATCGAATTTTGTGGGTCTTGGGCTCGCATGTTGGGCTAGATGTGCGCTGGAGTTCCTTGGAACCAGCGTGACGACAATCTTGATTTATGAGGACACTCTGTCTCGACATGATGTATGTACATATGTACATGGTACAATTTCAGCTACAAAGTAACAAATACGGATCATCCTAAGCTAGTGTCGGGTTGTGAACGTTTGTATCACCAACTTCCCATTTCAATGCTGATAATGGGACGACTCCCGAGAATCCAGTGACACCAGTATTCTCATGCCCTCGTGGGCGTTCTCCCTTTGCTACTATCCTCGCAGTCGACACGCCCAAGGGCTTCATATCTCGGGCGGTGGGTAAGTCGACCGAGCAGCGCGTTCCAAAGACGAGATGAATACCTTGCAAGCGCGGCATGTCGACTGAGGTCAACAGGGCTTTCGTATCCCCGACACCCTTAAGGTCGGTCACAACCAGTGTCCGCAACTGGCGCAGCGTCATGGACTCTGTCTCGATATCCATCATTCCTCCCTTCACGCCGCTCCCGCCGAAGCTGACATCCAAGTATGTGAGGTCTTGCATCCGTTGGAGAAGCGTGAAAAGGTTGGGAAGCGTGAAGCAGGTCGTCGTCGTCGTGAACGCCGTCACACTTGGCGGGATCTCGTGGAGCGCGCTGGGCTGGTCTGTAGCTAACCATTTGAGGCTTGGCAATTCTCCTAAGACGGCGGTCGAGAGCTGGGACGCGCCATGTACCGTTGTTACATGGAGCGCGGCCAAGTTTGAAAAGACTCCTGGCACTTGCAGCGGTGGTGGCAAGAAATTGAATCGCAAGTTCACGACGCGCCGCAAGACGTCGAGCGACAGTGCCCGTTGAAAGGGGTGACATGGAGAGGTGGCGTCGACATTGTAAGGGTTCACGTACATCCGCAGTGTGAGCGGGACGTCGCGTGAGCGAACCAGCTGCAATTCGAGCAGTTCTGCGATTGCCTGTGTCTGGGTGTGGCGGGAGAAGTTAAGATAGAGGACAGCCCATGGATGGGGCATGCGGAGAAGCATATGCCGCCAGCGTCGACAGACATGGGTCAGGTTCCATGGCTCGCGGTGGGTATTTAGGCTATAAGGCGCAAGGTCGCCGATAAGCACGTCTTGCACGCTCAAACAGCATTGGGAAAGTATCTCGTAGAGGATATCGTCCGGCGCGTTGTGGAGGATCCAGTCGACCTGTGTAGTTTGTGTTGGATGAGGTAGAGTTGGAGCTGCAGGACGAATGGAAGACTGGCATGGGACCGAGTACGACTTGTGATGTTTGCTGATAGTGGGTGCAGGTACATCGGGGAGAGCCCAAGTGCGATTGGAGGACCACATAGTGAGAGGAGGAGAAAGAAAGGTTACTTGTCACATCTCTTGTTTCCCGTCTCCCAATTTATAGGCCGCTGTGACTCTGAAGTGGTAGCTGTGATGCAACACTGCAACGATGTGACGCCGAGAGACTACCACTGCTTTCAGGAAGAATGCGCCGATAAACACGGCCTGTAGCGGCCTGGATTATGAATATTCAGAAGACGGTGCTCTCACGCTGCCCGACCTCCCAAAAAGAATGATAAACCATACAAACCACTAAAAGGTTAAATTGGACGTTCAACTTGGATTCCATCAAAATTCGATGCGTTTGAACCACTTCGGACACGTTTCGTGACTGGGCGGCGGTTGAGAGCAGGTGAGCTGGACCAGAGTACGACGCCGCAATGGTCAGCCGCGGCGATCACGGTCCTTTCCCCTTGCTTTCCCCTCTCACCGCCATCAAGCCATCATCAAGCCAATCTACGCGACAATCGCCTACGATTTATGGACGACGCCAGCCAGCGATGGTGCCTCGACGCTCCAGCCGTTATTCTACCAACACCTAGCGCAATTCGACGACGTCTGGGAATGATCCTTTCTTGCGCTGCCAATGCCAGACCCTTCGTCTATCACTCGCAAGCATAAACCAATGTCAATCATCGCTTCTGGGCAGTCTACACAGTTCAAACAACTCGGCACCCTGGCCATCTCTCGTTCGCCGTAGCCTCATTCCATGGATAACAGTGTGGCATTATATCCAAGGCTTCAATGTTCAACGTTCAACGTCAACCTACAGCTTTGATACAGCTCAAAACGCAAAATTATACGTACGCCTGCCCATTGCCCATTGCGTAGTGATCTATTCTGACCAACAGTCTCAGGTTTGATGAATGTGCATGGAAATCTGCGGCATGGCGAATCCCAACTGGCTTTCCCTCTTACACTCGTGCTTGTTCCCAGACTCGCAAACTTCGCAAGAACTGTGACATGCTCTCACAACGCGGGCCTTCGGCAGCAAGACAGCGCTACGTACGCTACTACGCGACAAGAACGTCGCACCGGTCTTTTTTGGACGCGTCGGGCGCAAAGGAGGACGAAACCCGGCGGATGCACGAGGCACTACCGCTCTCAATCCTTCCGGGCGTCGCTGAGGCGACCAACCTCGTGCACATTCTCCCCGACGACGTCCTCTACACCATATTCATGCTATGTTGCGACTCGCCAAAAGACATCCTGGACGACTGCAGTTCCTTATTCAGTTTGGACACCAGCCGAGCACCGTGGACGCTGTCGTATGTGTGCCAGCGGTGGCGCTCCGTAGTCCTGAACATCCCGCAAGTCTGGGCCGCCATTTACCTTAGGTTCTACCGCACGACTGGGGCCCGCCTTCTCAAGCTACAAATTTCTCGCGCGCGCCATTGTCCGCTCATATTACGCCTTTCTCTCAACCCGCACCACCCGTCCATCCAGCATTGTCAAGCACATCCATACCTACGCGTCCTAACGCGTCCGATTCTCGAAAAAGTCGTCATTCTTCGCACGAATTACACGCTCCCAGCTTTTCGTGATTGCCTCCCCAAATTGCAGTCGCTGCATATTACGTCTGGCACGGACAACGAAGGCCTCGGCGCACTGCCATGCATTCGCACATTGGTGACCGAGAATGACTGCTGCATCCCAGGCGGGATTGATCTCGAAAAACTCGAAAACTATCGCATCCGGTGCGCGTCGCTCAAGGTCGTTCTGCCCATCCTCTCCCGCATGACAAGTCTCGTATCCCTCGACATCACGTTCTACTCCCCGAACTTTGCTTTTCCTTTCCCTGAAACGGACGGAGGGGCCATATCGTTGCCCGCGTTGCAAACGCTGGCACTTTTCGACGTTGTAGGGAATGGAGCCACGAAGACGCTGCTGCTTGCCCTCCATATGCCACGGCTGGAGCGCCTTGAGCTTATGTTCGGGCGCTTCTGTCAAATGCTCCTGCCGAGCGCATGGGATGGGCTGGGGGAGATGACAATGTTGAGGGAGTTCTATCTTTCGACGGTGCAAGCGATGGATCAGGGCATGTGTGAAGAGGACCAGCAGGCGGTGAAGGAATTTCTGAAGTTGATGCCGCATGTGCGCGAGACTGCTACCATAGACGAGGGGAGGCGGTGCGAAAAGATGCCTTGAGGTTGGCGAGAGGCATCATTCACTGTAGCTGCATTGCTTAGACGTTATATTAGAGGGCCAAATTGATAGCTGTCGTCAGCTAGTTTTTGTCTACATAATGCATACTGCTTTACGACTGAGAGTTCTACTTGCTTGAGTCATTAGGAAACAGCTGCGGGTTGGTCCAACTTCAATATCCAATTTTGAGTGGATAATGCCACCGGTGTAGACTCGACACCAGCCGCTTCGCCAACCGGCGAGTCCCATCACTTGTTATCGTGACGAGTCGGGCGGCTGGCTCGAGACTACCACCGGTGGCGCAAAAAATTGGATGCCGCCGCCGCCGACGGGAAAACGTAGTAGCCCACCGCGAGGGTCGAACTCGCAGCCTTCAGATCGCCTATTCGAACAGGGGATAAGAGTCTGACGCTCTATCCGATTGAGCTAGGCGGGCTGGTAAGGGCGGGATGATGCGCATCCCCACGCGCAGCACGTAGTCAAGTGTTGAACTGGCCCTGCAGTGTCAAGATAACTATGTAGTCTAAACGCATACATTACAAGTAAGTTATGTCTTCTGAGTCCTGACGATATGTACACTAACGGCGTCCATGAACACAGGTCTCCGTCGTTCTCCATTCCGACATCCACCCGTAGCAGCGCTGCATTTCCCTCAGCCAAGCATAGGCATCAAGTCTACCATCCCGCGCCCCGTGTGCTGGGTATGATGCCACAGCGCATCTGGAGGACGCTTCATATGCTTGATGGTGGTTTGTACTTCCGAATGATGTATCGCACACTTGAACGCTGGATGTCCCGGTGGATGCATTGTCGACATATCGACGCACCTCAGCGCACCCTGCGGTGCTGCCCTTGCCAAATAAAGCGCCTCCAAAATCTCTGTTTCCAGCCCCTCAAAGTCCTCGAGCGCCAGCGACTCGAGATGCGGGCAAACGATGGGTGGGCACGCAAGACGCTGGAGGAGAGCTTGTGCATAGGCAGTATCCCGCGATACCTCGTTGAGTTGGTAGAACTGGTATTTGCTCTGCGGGCTCTTGAACTCTAGATTGCGGATGTGGGGAAGGAAAGGGAGGCATTCAACGACGAGCTCGCTCAGACAGCAGTGCGGCATGAGAAAGCGCAGATTGCGTAGTGGTGGTGCTGTTTGCTCTAGCATTTGGCGCAGGCTGATGAGGAAGCAGAACACGGCCGGTTCTTCTGGGTTGGGCTGTTGAGGTGAACGGCACGGCGTTGTTCCGACAATCAGTGTTTCGAGAGCAGGCATGTGAGCGGCGTCAAAGAAGTCTGGCAGGTTGGTGTTGTCCGTGCGCTGTCCACGTAGATGGATCTCGAGTGTGCGGAGGCGCGGCAAAGTAATGCGGGTCGTTCCCGCAGGTGCGGGGGTCGAAGGAGCAAAGGTTGTCGAGCGGCTTGTTGGGCCCCAGAGCCGGAAATATATGAGTTCGGGGCACTGGCTGAGAATGGAGACAAGGTCGGCAGAGCACTCGCAAAGCCCACGCGACGAGCTCAGTTGAAGATGCGTGAGCTGAGCAAGCGGAAAGTCTTTGCTGATATCGGGCGGCGTGTAGCGAATGGAGTGGCTGGTGTACGAAACTCTGCGGAGGCGAGGTGCTTGGTTGAGGATGGGGAATGTCTCGGACGGGGCCATGTCCACTTCATTGACGTTGACGAACGACATGGCGTTGAGTGGAACCTCAAAATCAACGTAGAGTGTTTCTAGAAGTGGAAGGTTGTCGCACTGAAAGTCGGATAAAAGCATCTTGGATAGCACGGGTGTGATCATGAGGTTCAGGCTTTCACACCTCGGAGCGTACCGTTGGAGGATGTCGCGGAGGATGAGCGCCGGCTCGTACGACGCAATGTCGGGTGGGTCTTGCGCCCGCTCATTTCCCCTGCAGAATATCGAAAGTTGGAGAGAATGATTGCTTGTGCGGGCCATCCATTCCGAGAATGCCAGTCGAAAGCGGTCATAGTTAATGTTGCGCTGTGGTACTAATGGCACGCCGAATTGGCCCGGGACAACGACGTGCAAGTTCGACCATAGCTTGGGTGTTTGAAGTGCGATGCTTCGCCAACGGCTGCAGACCTGGCCGAGCCGTAGTGGGGCTTCTTTGGAGGAAATGATGCATGGCTTTGGCACGCAGAGCATGAAAATTTCTTGCAGCAACTCCGATGGAAGGCTGCGGAGGGGTGAAAGAATCGACCTGTGCTGTCCCAATAAATATTTGGTGTCGAGGTCTGCGTGTTCTTGCTTGAGGGCGTTCAACTCGGCGACGAGACCATGTACGCGTTGCTGGATATCACGCGAGCGCCTATACGGTGCAGCAAGATAGTGTTTGACCCGTCGAATTTCCTCATCTTCAGGAATGTCATTTGTGACCAGCAGTTTGTTGAACGGAGAAGCTTTGGCGTAGGATGACGGATATGAGTTTGTTGGAATTTCTGAATGGCAAGATGTTATCATCTGGAGGTAAAGTAAGCTTGAGTTGCTAGGACCTCATTGTTGCGCACCCTGGTGCTCCGGCGACGAAGTTCAAAAGTACTTGCGCGTAGTCGAAGGTGGTTGTGACTTGGCAAGCGACACCGTTCGGAGCGGGGGCAATGCGCACTCGATCACCTCTGATCCGGGGCATCCTTTGCTCTACACCTTCAAGATGGTTGACAAAGGTCTTAGCTGAACCATTGCTACTGAAAGAAACCCTTCAAAAATTGGCCTTTCTCTTTTTCGGTCACTCTTCGCCGCTGGTTGGCACCGGTCCAGCACCATACCCAACCGCAATGTTGTAGATTGGTCAGTCACTTTTTTGGTATCATATGTCGCCTATTGAACATATAGCGACCCAGCCGGACCGTGTAACGTGGCTCTGGCCCACTCTTTATCAACAGAACAGCCTACTCATGACCAGAGAGATAAACGTTCGAATCACAACCCCACTTATCAACAGTCCTCCATCATGCCTGTGGATCGCAAAGAGCTTGAAAGTCGTGTATTACCGCAGATGGTGCTGTCAGAGGCATCAAATCCTCTGACTGCACCTCTTCCCCAACTCACTGCGTCCAATCCGGCCGATCGTGCACTCCAGCGCTTCGCCGTCGAAGGTGCTGCCATCGGTAAGCTTGATTGTGTGCTGAAGACGACTCCGAATAACTGTAGTCTCAGTTACTGGCGGCTCTGGATTTCTAGGCATCGCAGCTGTTCGTGCATTGCTCGAACATGGAGCGCCTGGCATTGCCATCTTCGACATGCACACATCCTTGCAAACGGCCGAGCCCGCTATCGCAGACCTCAGGACCAAATTCACCTCTGCGACCATCATCACAAAGACTATCGATGTCTGTGACGAGGCCGTGGTTCGTGATGCCGTAGATGAGTCCGCCAAGGAGATAGGACAGATTAGACACCTTCTGTGCTTCGCTGGCATTGTAGGATGTGCTCCCTCTCTGGAGGTAGACATCGATGCTTGGCGGAAAGTTATCGATGTCAACCTTACAGGTAGCTGGATATGCGCGCAAGCTGTTGCTCGGTATGTTCAAGCTCCACCCTGAAATAGCTCGCCATTCTCAATTCTTTCGCGCAGGAAAATGGTCGAGCAACAGACCAGTGGCAGTATTGTTTTCACTGCCTCCATCTCGGGCCATAGCGTCAATTTCCCACAACCACAGGTTGCTTACAACACCTCGAAGATGGGCATACGCCAGTTAGCTCGTTCTCTCGCGGCAGAGTGGGCGCATCACGGGATTCGCGTCAACAGTATCAGCCCAGGCTACATGAACACTATTCTCAATCATGGCGATGGTCTTAAGGCAGCGCGAGAGATCTGGGCAGCAAGAAATCCCATGGGAAGAATGGGAGAGCCAGAGGAGTTGACTGGTGCGGTGATCCTTTTGTCGAGTGCATTCGCGGGGCGATACATCACCGGAATCGACATTGTTGTCGACGGTCGGTTTTCTTCCTTCCTCACTCTTCAGCGCTGATAAATGCTTCCAGGTGGCCAAACTTTGTTCTAGCCAGATATTCCGCCGTGCGTTCCTTCATGAATTCAGCTGTAAGATCATAGAGACGTATCATGTACGGACCTCTTGTAAAAGTATCCCGTTAGTATGATATATTCAACGTCGCGTTTTCTGGGCACGTCCTTCCCATAAAGAGATGGCGCCAGGTCCGCTGGGGCCCAAGATTAAGCCTTGAGGATTCCCCGCAGGTCCTTGCGATCCTCCCTAAGTAAGAGTGCCTATGAACTCGCGTGTATTCTGAGAGGACTTTTACACGTACAACTACAAGTGAGTACCACTTCGACCGCATGCATGCGCTGGAAGGCCGTCGACAGACGTTTCGAAGTTCATCTCTACTGTTCTGAGCTGAGGCGGCTGGCAGATTTAGAGTTGAGGGAGTTCATATCTGGGATCACCTTGCATAATCTCGCATTTTATCATAGCAAAAACTGCTCTACGCAGCTCTCGTTACCGTCTCAGAGAACCAGGAGGTACCCTCGTATTTACGAGGAGGCCGCGGCGGACCCGGGCCGAGTTACCGACGTACTGTCACTCCGCGATCAGTCAATCGACCCTCTTTAAAATGTGTCCAGTACCAGGCGGCACGTGCAGCTTAATTCTGAGCCCTCGGCCTATAATAAAACTTGCTTCATACCACCACAAGCGAATGGATTCTCCCTCCAAGACCCCAAAAAACTTTTGGTAGATTCGCCCTGTGCCCCAGCCCAACTTCACCATGGTCGACGTCGGCACACTCATCTGGCTGTCCTTCCGGCCCTTGATAAAACTGTGCGCATATTGTCGACTGGTTTCGCACCGTCGCTGACGACGTCGCGCGCAGTGTCCTATGTGTAGGAAGCGGTTTCGTGATCACCAAAGCAGACATATTCCCTGCTATTGCCGCCCGTGGGGCGGGCCAGGTTGCCCTTGTACGTTTTTATAATCTTGAAACCGATGCTCCAGACATTAACCTCGACCACAGAATATCACTGGCCCATGTCTGATGTTTTCCAAAATTCTGCCGGCGTTTTCGACCAAGAATATCCATGTCCTAGGTTGGCGTTCATAGCACCATCTTCAGTCCAAGCACGCTCAACAGAGCCCTTAGCCCCACTCTTCGCAATTGCCGCCATATATCAGACCATGGGCATGGTCATGGCACTTTTTGTTAAGCAACTATTCTGGGTCCCGCATCGGTTCCGGTATGGTATCATCGCTGCTGGAGGCTGGGGAAACTGTGGTGACCTTCGTGAGATTGACTTACTCTGGCATCAGTCCTCGCAAACTCAATCTTCCCTCTAGCTACGGCGGTCGTAATGAGCTTGGCCGCAAACTCCCCATTCAAAGGACAGGAAGACCAGGACTTGTCTGTCGCCTACATTTCCGCTCTCATCCTGTTCTACACTGTGCGTGACTTTATCTAACCTCCACCCGTTGGTCTAA